TTCTCCTTCGTCCTGGCTACCATGCTCTGTAGGATATCCCAGCAATCTTCCTAGTATCAATTACTCCCTGCCCAGTTCTTCACTGTTCCTCTATAGCCCCCATCACTTCCATTTGCTGTTTTAGTTGCTCACACCTACCCTTGGGTTGTAGACCTCTGGAGGGCTAAAGTATCATTTTATTGACATAATGGTATGTTGCAAAGGGTTCTTGGATAGGGGATCAGGCAACCAGAGTTCCTTTTAGGGCTTGGGCATGAGCTTGAGGGAACTGTGCAGATCCAGCTAAGTTCTCAAGGCCTCACTTGCCTTCCCTTTAAAATGTATGGTTTGGCCTAGATTTTCCTACACATCCTCAGAATAATCAATAATACGATGTGGATATTTCTTTTCTTTCCTTTTTTAAAATTTTTGAAACAGGGTCTCACTCTGCTGCCCAGGCTGGAGTGCAGTGGCGTGATCATGGCTCATTGCTGCCTCAACCTCCTGGGGCTCAAGCTATCTTCCTGTCTTAGCCTTCTGAGTAGCTGGGACCACAAGCACAGGCCAACACACCTGGCTTTTTTTTTTTTAATTTTTAATTTTATTTTTAGAGACAGGGGTCTCACTTTGTTGCCCAGGCTGTTCTTGAACTCCTGGGCCTCAAGTGATCTCCCACCTTGGCTTCCCAAAGTGCTGGGATTACAGGTGTGAGCGAGTGTGCTCAGGTAGGATGCAGATATTTCCATTCTGTACATGCAAGCCTTGAATAACTCTGTAAACCCCGAAGGTCAGCCAAGGGTTTCCAGTTATTGTTGCTTGGGTAGCAGGAAGGTGACGAAAATGAGAAAAAATGCATAGTCATCATTTAAGCTACCATAATTGTCTTCCTACAAGTCTACTTCTTTACAGTGCAGAAACACTTGCCATTGTTTTAGATCCATTATCTTTTCTGCCTGGCAAAATACTTCTCACAGCTGAAGGTCACTTTTACAAATATCCCATCTTTTCTGGAAGCAGCCACAGTGTCTCTTTCCACCACCCCCCAGCAGTTTGTTCCTGCCTTCAGGTAATTATTGTGTTGGTCATATAGATGCATCTATTGCCTTCCAACTGGACAGGTAGGAATTGTTGCCTTTTAACTCCCCCAGTGCTTTTGACTTGATCGGCACTCAATAATAAGTCAATTGATAAATGGATGATGTGATTATTTAAATTTTTCAGGTTATGGGTGCTGTTGGGTCTCCTCTTGCTCCTTTTCCATTCCCGTCTTCTCCTTACTGCTGCAATACCTTTTATGAAAGAGGGATGGATTTTTGAGAGATGGTAATAAATAGGAGGATCTGTAAAAGGAAAGTCAATTGATTTTCTACTATAGTTCCTTTGGGTGGTGTGTGGATGTGATTTGATAAGACCCTGAGATCACGGGATACTGTGCAGACTTGAATTGTGCTGCCCATGGTAGCACTGAAAATCTAAGTGGGCCAGAGTAATGGCAGTGTGGGCTCCTGGATTGGATTTCAGAACAGAAAAAAAAGGATATTAGTGAAGAAACTGGTGAAATTCGAATAAAGGACCATTGCTAATGTCTTAGTTTTGACAAATGTACCATGGTTACACGATGTTTTACCTTTAGGGGAAACTGGGTGAAGGGTACATGGAAATGTTATGTATTATTTTTGCAACTATTCTATAAATCTAAAATTATTGCAAAGGACAAAGTTTATTTTTAAAAAAGTGGGTGGGCCAGAGTGAAAATTTTGAGTTTGGCTAGCAGACTCTTGCTGCGTGAATATTCTCACATCTAGTTATATCCCAACAATTTGTAGAATAGGTTAAAAAAGAGAACTGCAGGGAAGTTTAAAAACTCTCCTGTAAAAGATTCATGAAAAGGCATCAGAAAAAAATAAAAGCAAAACAAACAAAAAGTGAGACTGTGGGCAGCTGGTTGGGGAGGCCTAATATTAAAGGTGGGAAGCCAAGTGGCTGTTCAAGAGGTGGGTCAATGCAGTGATCCTGGGCTCACCATCAGGATACTGGCTACTTATTTTAGCCCCAAGCACTTGAGTACATTGCTTTGCCTGCATTTGCCCATCTTTGAAATGATCTCACTGAGACTCACAAATAAAGATGTGTAAAATAAAATAGTTCCTTACAAAAATCAAGTTTTCCTATTCTCCAAAATTTTGTCATTTTTTGCTCAAGAACAAAAGAGTTCCTCACTTGTGGGCTGGTTATGGTCAAAAACCTCAAAACAGCAAGTCTGATTCTGCATGAGCATTTTCACTTTGCACTTGGCAAGTTTCAGCTTCCTCTTAGAAGAATGTTCATGCCAATGCTAAAGCCATTTGACTTCTAAATATAGTGTAACAGATGTTAATAGGAACTGTATTATTTTCTGTTATACAAAGGGTCTTTCTTTAAAAGCCAGACACCAGTCCAGTTCTGGTTAGGCTCAACTATTTCAATCAAGGTAAATAGGATTTTTTTTCCCCTTTCTCAAGTATTGAAGATTTTGGTATCTTACACCGGATTTTCTTAACTTGACCCATGAACAAGTATCCATGCCTAGATACTAGAGAGATTTGTCAAGACCAGGCACAGTGGCTCATGCCTATAATCCCAGCACTTTGGGAGGCCAAGTTGGGAGGGTCCCTGGAGTTCAGTTCAAGACTAGCTCAGGCAAAATGGCAGGACTCTGTCTGCAGGAAAAATTTAAAAAAATTTGCCGAACATGGTGGCACACGCTTGTTGTCCCAGCTACTCAGGAAGCTGAGGCAGGAGGATCATTGAGCCCAGGACGCTGAAGCTGCATTGATATGATTGCAGCCACTGCACTTCAGCCTGGTTGGCAGATGGAGAACCTATCTCTTAAAAAAAAAAAGTTGAATGTGACGTTTCATACATATATCCCTTCTTTCCCCTCTATCGAGTGGTTTCATTCACCTTCAAAGGGTCCAAAACTCAAAAATGGCAAGAAACACTTTTACATACACACCACTCCATCACAAAAAGCCTAAACTATACTTGTTATATTTAGGTTCAGATTCAGTAATCTTAACGTCCAACATTGCAAATACCCAGATACTGGCTGCCTGGTTGATTTCACTTTTTGACCCCACAGCACCCAGCAACTCTGTGGGGCTGCACCTCAATGCGCGTTGGCTTGTAACTATTGCTTTTTCATAGCTGTGGCATTGTCTTCCTTTCCTGAAAACGTGGATTTTCACTTGAGGCACCTTTGTTCATCCAACCTTACCAATTTAAATGATCTCTCAAGAATACCAAAGTGACTCTGGCTCTTCTTGCCCTTCTAGTCCTTTAAAGACTGGCTATGCTTCTTTACAACACAGGCTGTGACCAGTGAGAATGTGGACTTTTAACCCATTTGAATGAGAATGCCTTATGGAACAAGTGATCTTCTGGCTGGCAGAGCATGAAGCGTCCCAAATGCAATTTGAATGTGCGATCCTGGTGTGATTTCAATGTCTCCCTTAAAGAGGCTTAAGCATGAAATTTCTTGGGCTGTTCCTCAAGAGAAAGGTGCTCTACAAATGAAGCCGAGACTATAAATTTCACTTGGTTTCAGATGAATGGACCGAATTATGAGGCTAAAAATGATTCCCTATTTCAGCCCCTTTGGATACTCCTCCCTTCTTCATTTCTAAAATTACTGTGATCTTAACTTCTGGATAATACTTTAGGTTCTCCAGCAATTTAACTTCCCTTTGAAAATGCACCAAAATCTAAGATTAATGTACCCTTTAATGTGGTTCTCTAACAGAGAACAATGTTAATAGACACTACACAAGAGATATGTAGGGGCGCCCAGGCACATTCCCCCCTCCCTTTTTCAGTAGTAGTTATATGATCAAATATAATACTAAAAGACTAAATGCTTGTGGCTCTTTTATATATATTTAAAACACACAGTAAGAACATAAGAACATCTCAAGTCATTTAGAAGGTAAAAGGGGGTTATCAACCAAAATCTTTGGAAATTTCATAAAATTTAAATATCTGCAAATAGTCCAACCAAAAATCAAAAAAATAAAACAAACAAACAAACAAAAAAAACACCCCAACATTTGGCTATGGAGGGCACTTCACATGTGAACCAAATGGCATTATAACATTTTCCTTCAACTAGTCACTAAACCCAATTAGTAAGAATACAAGAGCAATATTGGAGACATCCCCAAATACCACGTACTTGATTAGAACATTCTGTTATGAAGTGCTCAGCTACCGCGGGCTTTCCTTTACATTGCATACATTACATTTCTACAGTGCAATGTTGAAATAGCCTCCAAATTTTGCAAAGTAGATTGATGTTCATCCTACAAAAATATTAACTTACAGTACATAACACTGAATAATTTTATTCTGTACATTTTTTTTCCTTCCATAATAGTTGACACACGTCAGTTTGTACAAGTTAGAAAAAACATCTGGTTGTTTACATCTGGATTAATAGTCAACAGAGGCAACCAGAAGTGGTGGGGCGGGTGTAGTTTGAGAAAGTATAAATACAGTGTTAATATTAACTGTGGTTAACAATATTCAGCTTTTAACAAAGCGATACAAAATAAATCATCTTAGATTTTTGACTGAAAAGATCTAGCTGAGACTGTTCTGCCAAACAGCCGACCAACTGATGCAAAAGGTTAAGGCTGACTTGACTTAGCAACCTGCAGCACAACCGAAAACACTGGTGCAGTTCAGAGCTCTTCAAATGCATAGCTTCAGTGTTACACACACATTAATTATATTCCTTCAATTAGTTAATCCTCTAGACAGTTTTCTTTTTGTTTTGCATGCATCCTGTTCCATTTTCATTAAGGGCATCTCTTCCTTGATCAATCATGTGCTTTGCTTTTCAATTTGTTTTGTGATTTTTTTTGTATGTTTTGTTTGTTAAGCTGTCAATACCTCCAACACTTGGAAAATGAAATATAGATGCGTTTTACTTACAGAAGAGAATCATAGCTATATGGACAATGCAAAATGAAATGAAACAAGTGTCAGAAACAGTTTATAAAAATGGCACATTTATTGCTACAGAACGGTCATGTACATGACTTCATCGAATAACTACAGATGGGAAACAGGTAATGGCCTTGACCAAGCTGGGTTTGTTTTTGTCTTGAAGGAACTCCAGCACACAACCTGTTTGGACACTTCTACAAATCAGAAATACACCAAAAACATGAAAAAATCGAGGCACTCAGCCACACATTGAAAACAAGGTGTAACTGTTTATCTTTTTTTTTGAAATGTTTTCCCTTTTTTCTTTTTTTTAACAATTTTTTTAAGTTTTTAATGCTGCAGCTATGTGTACAGTCGCAAAAAATTTCCCCGCTGCGACCTACAACTAAAAAAAACAAAAACAAAAACAAAACAAAAAACAAACAAAAAAGCTACCCATACAGTTTCATCTTGGTAACACATGGTAAAATAACATCTTTTAAATAGTAAAATAAAGTAACAAACTTTTACTCATAATGATTCCAAAAATCTACAAAGAAGAAATATTCAGAATCTGACAATTTTTTTTTTTGTAATATTCATGGTATAAAAGGATTGCTCCTGCGAAAAATAAGCCAAATATATTTTTTATTTTTAAATTTAGTTTTTTTTCCTACTAGGGTGTACTACAGTCTATTTTATAGCAAAAGAGCACTAGACAAACAAAGCTTTATAACAAAAAGCCAGGCACTGATACATGGTAAATCTCTGCTTTTTTTTTTTTTTTTTTTTTTTTTTTTTTTTTCTTATCTTCACTTAATTGCATCACAAGTAACAAGAATGAAAAAGGCCACAGTTCATATATTTTCACCATTACATATGTCTATAATACTTGAAATGAGTATGGCAAAACCAGCACTGCACAAAGATGAGTCCACTTCAAGTCCCATGAGAAAGAGCATGTCTCTAAAGAAAAACAAACAAAACCAAAGCAAAATAAAAAGAGAGGCCTAAAGGCCTTGGTGCCCCATTGTGTTGGAATTCATCATATTCCATCTTGACTTTTTTGCTTCCAGTCAGCCAGCAGACTAAATTTTTGTGCTTGTTTATGCTGAAATTGATTCATTCCTGACTCAAGTTCACTTTTGGACACAGATCATATTCTGCCTGTTGGATGCAAAAGATGAAAATCCTCTTAACTCCAAGTCTTGGTTCGACTCCCTCCCCACTCCCCAACCCCTCATCAAAATCAAGATCACAAAAAACAAACAAAACAAAACAAAACAAAACAAAAACAAAAACAAAAAACCTCAGAAATAGGAAAAAGTGAAAAACAAAAAGGAATCGGAAGACTGAATCAGAACCAGTTGCACCACTGGGTGGACTGACAGTTGTATAAACATTAGTGTTCCTTGCAGCTACACAGAAGACAAATGGTAAAAATTTCTAGATGAACAGATCCCTATTCTGCATATTCATAAATTACTTGAATGTGGAGGTGGATCAACTGTTCCAAGTTGCTTTTAAAGTCCGAGTTTCTGAAAGAGATCCCCAGCCTAAGTGTTGTCATATAGAGTGTAGTATGGACCCTTCTGAAATGTTTGTATAGTACTTTAATCTTAACTGTCTTCCGCTGAATTTCATTTGAAAATCCAGTGCAGGATACCAATATCTTACCTGGGTTTGATAATTACAAAACAACAACAATAAAAAACACACTAAAAAGGCCACATTCCCTTTTTTCTTTTTCAATGGGGATACAACCCAATTAATATGGGTAGGTGCAGATTGTGTTTCTCCACCAAGCAAAACCTAGCGAGCAGCTTCCGGTGGCCATTTTCACTTATTTCCAAAGGGAATTCAACAATAGAGGTATTGCATTACTGAGTAATGAATACATCAAAGCTGGTGAACAATAAATTGCAGCTTTTACTCTAAGTGAGAACAAAATATAAAGCACCAATTTAAAAAATAATCAAATGACTACAATTTACTTTTTTGCTTTGTTTACAGATTTGAAAAACTTTAATTCAGCTCTATTAAGCACCTTTATGATAACATGTATCAAAAGTGCCATTCTTAAAATGTACATCAATGCAGGGAGTGTTTCCAGTTCCCTAAAGAGTAAACACCATATTTTCTTCTGTACACGTATCCTGAATGTGATCAGAGTATACCTGCTTCCTATATAATATTGTTCCTAGGGATACCCGCCTTGGTAGACTATACAGAATGAGTGCAGAATGTACCACTAAAAGGAAATCTTTAACATACGGAGGGAACAAGTACACATGGTTTTCATTATTCAGGGAGGAGGGGAGAGTATACATTATTGTCTTCCATGCCCTTCTCTGAGCCTCTTTGTTCATACATTTCACAGGAAAGTCCCAAAATAACTTTTCATGAAGTTTGATTTCTGCTATTCTCCTAAGGTTTTAATCCACCTCCACATTTTAGGAACTTATCAACAAATCAAAGTTATTTTAGTTTTATCGCTACTGAACATATTTACAGTTTTTCAACACACACACAGCTAATCAAAATGTTTATGGGTTTGTGGTAACTATCTTATTTGTTCTTACATTTTCAGAAATGAACATAAAATTCTGATTCTTGTAGCTCACTATTTCATTTAAATGAGACTTCTTTTTAAACCACACAGTTAAAAAAAAACAAAAACTGATACAATGTATTAAAACACATAATAACAAGAGTCTACATGTAAAAATATAACTTTTACATACACAATTTCAAAATAATGATACGTTTGCCATTTGTTGCATAAAATTTACAAATGTATTTCATTACTATATAACTGGCAAAACAGGAGAACAGATGGAACATTTAGACCATTTCAATGGATTTATGGCATTTACTCAGTGCTGATAGGTGGAAAAACTACTTGAACAGGGATTTTTTTTTTTCTTAATACATGCCAAGAATTGTGTGGCTGTAAAAATAGAAACGAGTTAGAGACAAAAGGATGCTGACAAATACTTAACTAGGAGCACTATTTGTTTACTGCACTATACACCAAAGTCAATCATTATAAAGATTCACGATGGAAGTTGGTTCAATTGTGCCCAGACGTCAAAGCTAGCTATCTGATGAGTCGCTGTGCCATAGCTTGATCTATGTTTCTATCAAATATGGTAAGTATAAACTTCATTCATACTGGCCAGAGAAATACTGCACTACCCCTCCTCAAAAAAGTGCAACTTAATGCTTTAGGACTTATAAGGCTTGTATAATGCTGCATGATGATTGAATATTGGCATTTTTCAGATGAAGGAGGAGGCAGTTAAGTCATCTACATTTTAGTAAACCCATTTTGAAAAAAAAAAATCAAGAAAGCAACAAAATCAATCAGCTCTGTCACACTACTTGCAATTTTCTCATTTGACGGTTTTTGAACTTTACTTGTTTTTTTTGTTTTTGTTTTTTTCCAAAAATCTGACCATGTATTCAGAAACGCCTCACTGCACACTACTTCGGCTACACAGGTAGGTAACACTTTAATCATTTTGTTAAATCACAGCCACTTTGATTATGTTATGTTTCCGATGATATAAACATTGGAAGGCACAGTGGTAACATTGTAGCATTCTAACCTTGTACCTCTGAAAATCCCAGAATAGGGTCACAAATGCAACATTACAATTCAGACAAACTCTTTTTGCCATGTCTTGGTAATGCTGCTTGTAATATCTACACATGATGTGATTTTTAAGTCCTGTGTTCCCAAAAGACTGGAGAAACAACTTTCTACTTATTTATGAATGAGAAGCAACATCAGGGTCAGCATTTCATCCTGCACTACCCCTCTGGAAGCAGAGTTGGCACTACAGGTTACAATAACAAACCAGGGAAAGGGACAGAAATAAGACAAAAAAAAAAAATCCGTATTTACAGTAAAATCTTTCTTTTAAAAAAGTTAATCAGTACTATTTTTTTACAGGAGAAAAAAGTCTGAAACAAATGAACAAAAGCTTACCATAGTCACTAAATTTTTAATATATATTTATATATATATTTATATATATATTTGTCATAGGTCTATAAGATCCATCTGTTCCTCCTACCCTAAGGAATGGCTAATGTCATCACTTCGTTGTCATCAGGACGTTTGCTGGTTTTGTTACTAGGGCAGCCGAGCTTCCCCTAATTCAATATCCAGTAATTATAAACACTAGCTGACTTGAATACCAACAAAAACGTTCATGTAGTTTTCTTCAGAAGTACACTTTTTCATTATTGCAAGTTTACAATTTTTTTTTAAATTAAATATTTTTTTTCAGACTTACAAATTAATTATATTTTTTTTTTTTCCAAAAGAAGTTTAGGCACAAATGCATTGTTCCACAGTGTGGAAAGATTGCCGTTCAGTCTCTGGGCTGTGTCTCAGCCTGTACATACTGCTTTGCACATTCTGAATGATATGTTAAAGAAAGTCGTCCCTCAAGTTGCACTTTTTTCTTTCTTTTTTTTGTTTTTCTGTTTTTTGATAATTGGGAATGCTGAAACCTCTTGCGTCTGCGATTCATAACTACTCAGACTTGTCTTATATTACAAAAAAGGGGGTTAAGGAGAAGTGTTTATGTGGGTTTAAGATAATACAGCTGTTAAGGAAGTGGTCTCTTGTTTTAATGAAGCAATGTGGCAACTTGGACCTGAGAAAGGAAAAAAGAGAAAAAAAATTCATTAATATATTTGTAACAGAGGAAGTGTGCTGCTTCTTTTTTTTTTTTTAATTCATTTTCCATGAAAGAAAGTATCTGTCAATTTGGGTAAAATTCACTTTTATAGCTGATACACTGGTGACAGTTACGAATGATCGGTTTCAGAAATGTTGAAAACAAACTTGCCCTTTTACATCTGTCCCATGTGATTCGATGCGTCTCCCATTCCAGGGTGTGGGCCGGCCAAGGAGAGTGGGGGAGGCTCTGAGGACACCTTCTCTTCCTCCCTTCTTTTCAGACATGCAGCTTTCGGATTCAGATTCCTTTCTGTGGAGGATTAAAGCACAGGACCTTTGTTTAATGCTGAGGCTTCTGGCAGAGGGCAGCAATGCACTCTTCTTGCGTGTCTGACCTTTTTCTCAGTGTTTATATTACAGAACAAAAGGAACAGTTACTACGTACTGTGGTGATCCATTTGGTCAGTCACTAGTAAAAGCTGAACTGCATATGAGTGTGTACAGCCACTTTACAGTAAGCAAAGGTTGGTAAAGCAAATAAACTAAGCTCCAATTACTGAAAGGATATAGGGAAAGTTGCAATATAATCTTAGTTATAAGAATCCTACAACTTAATTACAGGAGAAAGAGATGCTGCCTTACTTAAGGATTTAGACACAGTCTGCAATGGAAGCAATTCTTTGGAATGATGCTTGAAGGTCTACTGTCTGCCACTGCTCAAGGCTGGCATGCCCATCTCAGCTTGTGCCTGCCACAAGCTCCTCATGAGTTCTGCAAGGAGGCTGGCCTGCACTGACCTCGGACTTGCTGCTCCAGACTGAGGATGACCGCCACCGCCTGGTGGAGGATCAGGAGCTTGGTCTGGGGCTTGTCACTCTTGAGGTGGAGCTGCACCATGCGGCCGAGCTCTTTGAAAGCCTCGTTGATGTCACGGACCCGCAGGCGCTCTCGGGCGTTGTTGGCCATTCTCCGCTCCTTCTCACGCTCCGCCTTCTGCTCCGGTGTCAGGTCCTCATCGTCATTATTGCTGTGGGACAAAAGGGATGCAACATTTTCTAATGGTGTGGGGAAAAAGAAGGTGTCTACATTGTTTTCTTCCAGAGTTTTCAGGGAACTTTTCCATCTTATGCCATGTCTTTGGCAGAATTTTTATATCCACTGGACCTTGCAACTTGGCTGTGACAGTTCACAATACACAAGATACTTGGTTTTCTCACTGACATTAAACCCAAACCAAACAGGTGAGAGTGACGTAGATTAAAGTTAGAGTGCGGAGTGTGCCCATACTGATACAGGGGGGCAGAAAGGAGAAACAAAGCTTTTTTTATTCAGTGGGGTTACACTCTGAAAAGCAGGCGTTCACCAACTTACGCTTAGCATATGCTGCACAACCATGCTTCAGAAAGACTTTATGTTTATACTTCATTTTTTTAATATAGAGAAAACCTTTCATACCGTGACATCTGAAACCTAGGGGAAACAAGTAATTGAAAAATGATTTTGATAGGTCAAAAAAACACAAGGCAGCTTAACAGGAGTAAGAAGAAAGGCCTATATGTAAGACACCAGAGCAGTGGGAGTGAAGACAGTGAGGCTTTTATCCAGGTATCCCCATTACCTTGCTTTGAAGGCCTGGTCAACCCACTATGTAATTCTCATTTTCTCTATGTATGAAATAAAAGGTTAGGAAAACATGACTTCCATGGTCTTTAATCTTATAGATGTTTATGATCCCCAGAACAAGTTTGGGAAACCTGAATTGATATCAGCCATGCAAAACGATTAAAAAAACCAAACACCTACAGCTTATGAATGATCATGACCTCACTGTGAGTCAAAAATGAAGCCAGAAAGCTGGGTGCAGTGGCTCATGCCTATAATCCCAGCCTGGACAATATAGTGAGACCTCTTCTCTATAAAAAATAAAAAAAATTAGCTGGGCACAGCGATGCACACCTGTAGTCTCAGCTACTCAGGAGGCTGAGGTGGGAGGCTCACTTGAATCTAGTAGGTGGAGGCTGTAGTGAGCTGTGATAAGGCCACTGCACTCCAGCCTGGGCAACAGAGCCAGACTCTGTCTCTTACCAAACAAAAAAACAAAACAAAACAAAACAAAAAAGCTAAACGCTAATTTCTGATTGTGAAAACGAAAATATTCCATGATTCATAACAAAGACATGGCTAGGCCCAGAATAGTCTGAAAAGATAAGATTGGTTCTGTCCATTTCCGGGTGTCACAGTGACAAATTAGAAACTTCTGAATGGAAGGCAAAGAGGATGAGGAGCCACCTGGAAAGCATATCATATGAGGAAACCTTCATGGCAGCACGGCTCAAATATTCCAAGAGCTATCATGTAAAAAAGAGAGATGTGCACGATGTCTTGTCTCAAGAAGGCAGAACGGCATGTGCTACGAAGCTCCAAATGACTATTATGAATAAACGTTAAGTGAGGATTTTCGGGGGGCTTATGAGAGATACAAAAAATGAAACAAACTTCACTGAACATCAGTAGACTTCCCATCACAAGAAACTCCATGGAAGTGACTAACAACCTACAGGGTAATTTCACACATCAGAAATGTTCACAGAATAAAGATGATTAATCACAACATTTTGGAGTTGGAAGATGTGGGAAATTATCTAGTCAATTCAATGTATACTTAATGAATGCTGGTTTAAAATTTATGACTCTGGTCTTCCATTGTGGAGAATCTCTGGGTAACTTTCAAGTGGCAATAAGGGACCAATTACACTTGAGAAGCTCCAATCAATCAAAAGTGAGAGTGGTATTCCTGGGTTGCAAGTACACGTTACACATAAAGATGATGCACGAGTCAAGAACACTTGGGTGAAGGAGAAAAGTTAGGGGCAAGGAGGATGACACCACAGAAGGACGCTGTAAGACCAGGCTCCTCTCTCTCCATAGCATAAGTGCCTTTCCAGAAGGCACTGTCTGCCACAGGTGTGTATGGTAAACAGGCAACTCAACTGAATCCACTGGAAAAGGCCCTCTTTCTCTGCCTTCTACCGATCCCTCCTCTGCCCTCATCCCCGACTGCTGCCAGTGCCAAGGAAATCAAGTAACAATTAATTCACTCCTATATTCTACTACGCAAATAGGCTGTAAAAAGCAAAAGAAAACAGTCTCTGCCAGGCCTGTCCGGAAGCTAAGCATTTGGGTGATATTTTTATACATCCAACATGTGCCACACCTTACACAAAGGAGACTGGAAAATGGGAACTTTTCTTCCAAATGTTTTCAGGCCAATAACCAATTAGAATTGGTTATTCACTTATAAATAAACTGGTTATGCAAATAAAACTGCCTAGATTTGAAAGGCACTGCCTCGTAATACAGTTTTGGAGGCATACAGAAGTAAATGTCATAAGAGTGACCTTTTTAAATAAGAAGGTTCTCAACAGCGAGTGAAAATGTTGTTCTGAAACATCAAAGGATCCATTAACATGCATAAGTTTGGCCACAGTAAGTTAAATTATCAAGAACTGACTGGTCTAACACAGAAGTTATTAAAGGTATGAAATTCCCTCCTTGGGATTTCTTGCCAAAGTGGCCAAGAATCAGAAAACGATGAGGAAGGAAAGGGGTTATCTAGAAGCATTTGGCATTTTAAAACTTCTGGCAGAACATGGAATTCATCTAAGTAATTACGAAGGTAACGTGAAGAGGCAGCATGTTCTTAATTCACAAAAGATTCCAAATAGAACCTTGAGAACCACAGCCTTTAGATGGAAAGTTGTAGTCTTAGGACACTTGGTTGAATTTGTGAATAAAAACAACCCAAGGGAATTGAGGTAAACTACATGGGTGCTGGTATTCAAACACCATCTGATTACCAGATTCAAGTTCAAGGAGATATAGATTCGAATTTAAAGATAGCAGATATTTAAGAAAACCAGACAGAAGCTATTTTCCTGCAGTTGTGTTTTCTGCAGAAAAGTGTGTCCAGGAGGAAAAACCATTAGCAATTTAGGTATTACTCATACACATCTGCATGTTTAGGATAAATCTAGGAAATCAGTATTTTCTCACTTTAGAGGTAAGAAAAGAGTTATAGTTGGCACATACATCAATTGAGTTTTTAACACGGCTACAATCTCTTTTTAGAAATATTATAGACACAACATTTCTGACCAAATTTGTAGACTAAGTATAGTTTTAAAAATAAACTGTACTTGAATCAGATACAAATTGTTTTCACTGTGTGTCATTAGCATTGGGTCCAGATTCATAAATGCCAAAACATTTTAGGCTCCACTAGAGTACAGGTATCTTAAACGATACTTTTAGTACTTCTAGAGTAGGCCTTTAATTTTCTTTTCAGCTGTAAATCTACCTGCCAGGAAAAAACTGAATAGTTTCTTCCCGTTCTGTTCACTTCATCAAAGTCCAATAAAGGAATTAAATGAAGCGACAGTATTATATACTGTTACCTAGATCTTGACCTAGTAATTGATTTGATATCCTTCTTGTCGTCATCTAATTTCTTGTCCTCCGAAGATTTCGTGTCTTGCAGGTTCTCATCGCCCTCGTCGTCGGATTTGATCTCAGAGCTGCCAGAGGAGACACTCTGCCCCTGTAGTCCTGGTGGCATGCCTACAGAAAAAGAGGAATCAGATGATACGTACACCAACATCTCACTGCCTGCACACCAGATTGCAAGGCTGCCAGCAGACAATTCATACTGCTGAACTGTGATCCTTCTGTCACTTTTTTTTTTTCCTGCTATCTGTTGAAGTTTCAAAAAATGCACCTGCAGAAACAAGTTTTCTCTGCATTGGCTCTAAGGTTAAATTCTATTTTGCAATCTTTTGGAGTAGATGGTAATTTCACTGTCTACAAAACATCAACTTAATTGCAATGAAAATCATAATCATGAAAATCACACAGCCAATGTTCTGATTAAGAACCCAAGTAAATATCAGCTATTATATTGAGTTTCTTCCATATGCAATGATTTAATAGGAAAATGTCCTTAAAATATAATTCCCAGGGAGTATGCTAAATATGTGCAGTCAAGACTTCAATAGGTACCCTAATGATATTCTGAAATTAGGCTTCTCTTATTCTCAAGGAGTAATCAGCATTTTAAAATGGTACATATGGAAGGCAGTTTGCTACTCATTTTAGAAATTTCTAGCTTTATCATTGCTCAACTTTCCAAGTCACACTGCATTTTAAAACACGATCCTAATGTAATAAATTTTTTAAAGGTAGAACTGTATCTGTCAAGTATTCCCCCTTATTTGTAATCTGTGTATTCTAGAACCTTGCCACTCAAACTTTGGTCCATGTGGCCTCATCACCTGTGAGCCCATTAGAAATGGACAATCCCAGACCTACTGAAGCAGAATCTGCATTTTAACAAGATCCTCAGGTCGTGCTTATGTGCAGTCTGAGAAGTACAGATTTCGGACAAAGAGGACAAAACCCAAAGGCTCTTGATAAGAAAGGTCCTGGCCAGGTGCAGTGGCTCACGCCTGTAATCCCAGCACTTCGGGAGGCTGAGGCACATATATCACTTGAGGTCAGGAGTTCAAGACCAGCCTGGCCAACATGGTGAAACACTGTCTCTACTAAAAATATGAAAAATAGCCGGGCATGGTGATGCATGTCTGTAATCCAAGCTACCTGGGAGGCTGAGGCAGAACTGCTTGAATCTGGGAGGTGGAGGTTGCAGTGAGCTGAGATCGCACCACTGCACTCCAGCCTGGGCAACAGAGTGAAGCTCTGTCTCAAAAAAGTCCATGAAATCATACTATTCATATAAAATGGGCAGACATACCCATACATACAATTGACACTCAGATCTGTACAATGTTGAACAGTTGAAAAAATGCCCACATGTATTCCTGTGGCAATGTTATCATTTTTATATTAAACGTGAAGGGACTAGAAGATGTTATCTAAGTGACTCCTAGTCAGCTGGCCAATAGCAGCCCAACTTCCTGGGGTCATGAAAAGCTGCTCACAGTCACTGCTATGAGGCAATCATTAGAGGGCTAGATGACTCAAGAGCGAAAATCATGCAACTGCAACCAAGCTCCATTTTTAAAATGCACCTATATTTCCTTCCATTTGAAACAACAACAACAATTTCCTTCCTTCCTATTCATTTGGAAATATCATTTTCAGGCCACAACTAACCACATTAGAGGACCTGAATGAGAAAAATGTGGAAATAGCTAAAATAAAATTTCCTCTCATCAGTCTGTGGCCTCATTCCTGGCTGATATAGGACCAGGATTTCAGAGGATGTTTGAGGAAAACAGTCCCTGGAGAAACATGATTAGCGGGCGAAGTTCTAAATACTTTCCCATTTCCTTACCATTTTTGTGCCCAATTTGATTCTTGGGTTTCTGCCAGTGCTTCTTGAGGGATGAACACCAAGAGGCTGGGTATCAATACTGGGCCTATTGTGAAAGTGAGGTCAGAAGTGCCCTGGTGAGGCCAACCTACCTCTGTAAGGGTCCTGGGGTGGGTTCAGGTCAGGGGAAGTCGCAGACTGGACAGGAAGCTGTGGGACTGGAACCTGGTTTGGCAGAAGAGAATGGCTGCCTCTCAGGGCCACACCATCTTCACGATGGGTCCCCACCTGAAAGCGGCGAGAGGAACCAGAGAGGTGAGCAGGAACCAGAGGTGTGACTGCTATTTCCAGAGGCCACGAGGACCTGATGAAAGCAGGCTGGCTTTTCAAAAACCATACTCCCAAACTCATTTCACTAGAGGGCGCTGAAGGACCGCACATGCACCTATAGTTCCCGGCGAAAACACTTAACACTCAGTAAGACGCCGTGCTGTACATTCAGTGACAAATATGGCAGAGTAGCTCAGGCAGGTAAAACGTCAAATTGTCTCCCAGGGTGCTGCAGTGGAGCGCACTGATTCGTACCCATCTGTCTTCTATCATGTCCGCCAACAGATCTGACAATTATCTTAATGCCCATATGCTTAATTGTGGGCTTCTCAATTCCCCCATTGCTATCGGAAATCCTACAGGAATTTCAATTTGGCATTCGACTTTCATTTCAGGGGATAAGATTCTCAGGCCTGCCATTTTTTTTTTCCATAATGCCAGCTAAGCCTCTGACAGCGGAAGCTACAGCAGTATGGGACACAGCCTCTGCTTGGTACAAATATAATAAAATGTCACCTGGCTTTCCAAAACTGGCAGCCCATTCCAAATTAATGTTTACTGTATTTCATCAGCTGCTGAGTTTCAAATCCAAAGGGGGATGGTTTCTGCCAATGCCACCACACCGGAAAATGTACCAATAAAGGTTTTATTAAACACACCAGTAATGCCATCATTGCCATGCAAGGATGTTTGGACATTTTTCCATTTTTTCCCTCACTATTCTGATCCTAGAAAGACACCATATTGTAAATACTCTCGATGCTTCCAAAAATAAAATTATAGAGTACAGCATGATTACTTGATTAAAAAAATGCTGCTGAGCTTTTTATTAACTACTGCTATCTACTCTAGGGTCTAGAGACACTGAACTTGCGGCACTGAGACAGCAACTGCCTACTTTATAGCATATGCCTTCAAGCAAAAACATTAAGCATTTATAAACTAAGAGGACAATGAGTAGTTCACATTTTCTTTTCTATTTCCAAGTATTTTCTTAGCCTATGGTTAAGTAAGCATTTACACAGGACGGTGAGTCTAAAACACAAAAAAATTAACCATACATTTATACTGCTATGAATCAGGTTTATTTTTTTCCAGTCAAAAATATGAAACCAGAAAGGAGAATCTTCACTCTTTTGTTACCAAAATATTTTAAAAGGGTATTTCCAAAGAATGCATCAATAATAAGAATCTGAACCAACAACAATCAAATTCACAGGACCTAATAAACACATGCTATTTAAAGGCAGGTATGTATTGTAAATATCGCCTACAATATTTTGCTTTTTACTGAAAATATATTTAAGTAAGTGATCCTGAAATATGCCATTTTTATATTCATGTGTACGTGCGTGTGGGGTGTGTGTGTGTGTGTATATATGCACTCCAAAATATTTTTTTAAATTTTGGGTGGAAAGGATCACATAAATCATAAATCATATTGTTTGGATTCAAAATACAGCAAGAATAGGAAAAGACTTGAGGCTTATGAGCATCAGGAAGTATCAATAAGTGTTTCAGCAGAGAGAGGTTGGAAGTCCAGCACTGCTGCCCGGTGCCTGTGTCGCAATACAGAACTTTCTGAATGGTGGTTATGTGGCCTCTATGGGGTGCTTCAAATGTACTGAGACTGGTATCTCCCAAAGCAGCCCATTCCATTTTTACCACAAATTGGCCTCTTTGTAGATTTCACTCACTGATCCTAGAGTTCTATGGCATTAAGTACAGACCTTTTTTCAAAAAAAACATATTCAACCCAGTTGCCTGCCACACCACTCCTTTTCTCTGTGACTGAAGTCTGCTTCAGTCTACAGGCAGACCACGCCCACCTGCTCCTGCAACCATTTGTAACTGACTCTCCTATATATTTTAATTTTTATTCAGAAGAGTGATAGCTATTTTCCATTGAGGTTTTGATTTGCTGTTTTTATATTCATGCATTAGAAAATGGATTCAATCAATGATTATCCTTTCAATCTAAGATGTCAACTTGTAAGCATGAATTTTTACAGGCCTTGATAAAATGGTGGCTCTTTATGTCTGTCAATCAATATCTAAATAATTCTTTGTGCTGATTCGTATTTATTTATGTTCCCAATGGATGTAATTTCTTGAATTTCCACAAAGGATGACTCTAAGTCAAAATCACTGAAAGTAACCACAGATTTGAGCATAGAGGAGAAGTATACTCCTATTTCAGAATCATTAACACTCTCAAGACTTATTTGCAAGCATCTATGACATATCTTAAGGTTAATGTTTTGCTTTTTACTTAAAATATATTCAGTTATTGATCTTGAAATTTTTTTCCTCTAGATCACATTGAGGTAAGTTCTTAAAAGAGGAAAAGAGAACCCACGGAATCATACATGACAACTGGTATATAACAGGTACATAATAACTGCAGACAGAATCGTGTGTTTTGACCGAAAATACTTGCATGTTATATAGAAAGAATAGCCTGTGTAGTTCAAGAACCCTCAAAACTCAGGCTATCTTCACTTACGATGATCTTTGTCTCTGTTTTGTTAAAATCCATTTAATTTTTCTTCTATACAATGACTGTAAACTCTTAAATGTTATAAATATATTTGAGGATATAGTTGTTCCAACTACATTTTTGTTTGGATTTTAGGCCCATATGTTACCTAACTCCATCTATTTTCTATAGATCATGTTAGATCATCTCAATATCAATCATTTTCCATAAAGAATGATGGAGACAAAGTTGTTCTGATGCTTTTGTTTTTTAAAATTTAAATTTTTTTTTTTTTTTTTGAGACTCTCTCTGTCGTCCAGGCTGGAGCCTCTGCCTCCCAGGTTCAAGCGATTCTCCTGCCTTAGCCTCCCAAATAACTGGAATTACAGGTGCCCACCACCACACCCGGCTAATTTGTCGTGATGTTTTAAGACTTCCCTTGTAACTGTGTCTATTCCAGGTCATGTGAATGACCTCGGACAGGTCCAGAGCCATGTAATAATGAGCTTGATCTCCAGGATAGGATCAATTCCATTGCCCGTGGCTGTGGAATGGTATTCCAATTTGAAGAATTGGCTTGGCTTTGCTTGTTTCCTTGGCCACAGATGGCATGTTCTAACCCTGTTTACTTCTCTTTCAGAAACGTTATTTCTGGTCACATGAGAGACAAGGGAAGAAACACGGTGGATGGTCAGCACAAATCCATCACTAGAAGAACACAGAAATAGATGGAGAAACCCACACTGTTCTCTGTATATACAAGGGTCAGGGATTGTCCACTGGCATTAAGGTGGCCCATTCATAGGATGACCCATGTCTGCTTCAAATTGAGCTGGGCCATCCAATGATCTTGGCATTCTGAACTTCAATACGTCACAATGTGACTAGGAAAAAGGAGATTCCTGCAAATCAATTCTAAGAATGACACTTGGTCCCTATTTTTAGAAAATCTGTACTTCGTTAAAGCCCTATTTTGATAACCTTTTCATAGAGATAACAGTAGTCTAAAGTTAAAAGCCAGCTTATGAAAAGTTAATTAATACTCATTGTAAATGTGAATCTTTTCATGGTCATGTATAATGCAGTTTTAGTGATAGCAATGCTAAAAGAAGTGAAATTTAAAAATTATTCAATGATTATTCATTGATTGATCAGAGCATGCATTCAACAAACATTTTCTAATCTAGCCCATGCCTGTCACTTTGTGAGACACTGGGGACAGAATGAGAAATAACTCAGATGTGGTCCTGGTTTTTGTGGAACTCATAATGATTCTTGGGCGGATTTTTGTACACTGATCAATTTAGTGGGGCAGTTTTAATAGTAAGGAAGAGAAACCTATTTGAGATTGTTCAAATAAAAGGAGATTTATCATAAAGAGTTTTCTGTAGCTTAGGTTTTAGACTCAGAGAGCTCTTGGGAACTGAATGACACTCCTTGCCTCTGCTGGGCTATTCAGCCTCTCTCCTCTCTCTGGGGGCACCACTGCTTCTCTTCGGCTTCTGCTCTCTCATGAGGACATATTGGACTCATTCTTCATGATACCTCGTGGTGCATTCCTTCTGGTTCTGTACCTGCTGCTGATTTCCTCTTTGTCTTCGTATTTCTAAGCTTAGAATGCCAAGATCATTGGATGGCCCAGCTCACTTTGAAGCAGACATAGGTCATCCTATGAATGGGCCACCTTAATGACAGACATTTTCCTGGTCCAGAGAGCTACAAAGGAGGAAGGGGAGACAAGATCATGTAGTCCAAACACAGCCAGCTTGGCCTGTCCCGTCCACATTTTGGCTGGTACGTGTAGGTGTAAATATCTGAGTTACACTGTATATTAGGTCAAATTATACTCAAATTCCAACACATCTATTTAAATTCTCCTGTGTGAATTTGTCATTGGATATAATTAAATGTCATTAGATATGCAATAATTATTTTGAATCATGTAAGCACCATATAATTTTAAATAACCTTAGTTTCCAAGAAAGGGCTTGATAAACTGATAGAAGCACTTTTAAATCATAGAACTTAGACATCAAGGGCTTAGAGGACCTTCTTTATATATCAGTTAGGTCAGACTCTTCATTTTACAAAGAAAGCTAAGGTCAAGAACGGTGAAGTGACTTAAGATCTAACTTTAGATGTTTAGTTAGAGATCTAAAACAGATTTTGAACTCAGAAAACTTATAACACTGAACAATTATATAGGAGAGGGGAGCAGAGTTAGGGGGCAAGAGGGGTTTATTTCCCAGAGCTTTTGTTTTAAAACAGCGCACGTGTGTGTGTGTGTGTGTGTGTATGTCCATACATGCACATACACACCTAGGTACAAGCATATGACATACATATATATACATACATATACAGATACAGGAAAATCATTTCCATTTTCTTTATTGTAGGGGGGAAATCATAGTTCATTAACTCAGGCCAAGGCCAAGATGTCTAACTAAATTATAAAATTTAATATTTGCCACGATCC